TGAATAGGCCTAATAGATTTTAAAATTTATTTGAGAGCTGTAGTAATCAAAACAATGTGACTCTTGGTACACGAACAGACAGTAGATAATGGAATAGAAGAGAATCTAAACCCAACGTGGTGATAAAGATATCATTTTAGGGGGCCGGCCCGGTGGCGCACTGCTACAGTGCGCCACTTGGGAGTGCAGCTGCGCTCCCGCTGAGGGTTCGGATCCCACATACAGACCGGTTCCCGCTCACTGGCTGAGCGAGGTGCAGGAGCAACACCGAGGATTGCGATCCCGTTGCCGGTCCCGGTCCGGTACGGGTGCGACACTGAGGGTTGCGATCCGTTGCCGGACACAAAAAAAGACAAAAAGGGAAAAAAAAAAGATATCATTTTAGATTGGTAGGAGTACCTGGCTGTCCATTTGAGGGAAAAAAGCTTAATATCAGATAAATTCCACAAATGTCAAAGATTTGAAGTTTTTTTTTAGAGAAGAAAGAAATTATAAACTTATTAGAAGAAAATGTGGGTGAATTAAGAAAAAAAAACTTGAAGCAAATGGTCCTTTGTTAGATTTTTGAAAATTTCAGAAGCTATACAAAGGAAAAGATTGTCAAATTTGAGTCCACAAAAATTTACAACTTCTTTATAACTAATAACTAAGTCATGAGGTAAGTGACAGACTAAGAAAATTATTGCAATATGTCACAATGGGTAATGGTCTATCATTAAGAACCCCCTTTTATTCTGTATATCTGTGCGATGAGAGCAATCACGTGTGTATTATACCCTATTTTACAAAATCCTAAAGGGAAAGAAATGCAAGAATTATATTTGGAGAACTAAAACATCTTCCTTTCTCTTGAGTAGAAGCAGTAGACCACAATAGCACAGGCACTAAGACAGGTGTTCTTAGTTTGATTTATAACCCCACAAAGTTCTGTGACTTTGGCAAAGTTATTCATCGTTTCTGTACTTCAGTTTCTTTCTCTAAAGTGGAAATATTAGCATCTTCTTCACAGGGCTGTGGTGTTTAAATGTGATAATACATGTAGAGTACTTAGTCTTAGAATATGCTTGGCATATTGCAAGAGCCCAGTTAATGTTAACTGTTATTGTTAGCTATCATCATCATCATCATCATCATCATCACCAATACTTTCAATATCTAGTTATTTTCCCATTATTTGTACTTACTCTGATACTAATAACACCTCTCATTTGTGTAATATTTTAGATTTAACAAAAGTTCTTCCACATGCATTATATCATTTTATTATCATTACTACTTTTATGAGGTAGACACAGTAGCCCCATTTTACAGATGTGGAAACAGAGCCTCAGTAAAGTTAAATGACTTGCTCAGGTTTGCCTATCTAGCCAGTGGCAGACTTGGGCCTGAAATTCAGATCTCTAGTTTCTGGGCATCAGCACATTTTTTTTAAAGCTTGAATTTGGAAATAATTTCAAATTTGCAAAAAATTGCAAAAATAAAAATATTACAAAGAATACACATAGACCCATTTCCCATTCACCTATTGGGTTAGCATTTTACCCCACTTTATCATTTAGCACTCTATTTTTCAGTTGCCTCTTCTTTCTTACTCATTTACTTGTCCTGATCCCAAATGATTATTCCTTCATTTGAGAAATATTTATCGTGTTTATTACTTGATTAATTATGATCAGTGTCCATTAGCCGAAACATTCTATCCATTTTAACCCTTTTGGTACATTCTATTGTTTTGTTTTAAGAGCTCTTTTAATTCTGATTATTTTTATTTCCTCCTCTCAATATTTTTTAAAGCATATTGGAATATTTTGGCATATAATCAGAGGGTACTTTGTAACTTGATTTTTATGTCCTCTTCATTTCATAACTGGTCTTTCCAGAATAACATTTTTGAACTTAAAAGTAGCTGAGGAAGTTGGCTTAGGGAGTTTATAAAACCAATCCCCTGACCCCCAGCCATGGGGTTCCAGTTTGTTTGGGGTTTTTCTGAATCATAGGACCTCAGAATACTGAATTCAGTCCCAAACTAACCTGATCTTGGATTTCTTTGGATTTATAATTAGATTCAGAAAGTTATTGGTTATTCAGACTTATCCTGAAGGTACATCTGGATATTCTGGAAATGATTCATGATCTGGATGTGAGAGAAGGGCACCTATGGCTAGCATATAACTAATCAGTTCAGCAGCACAAACAGTTCTGTATACTTCGTATTTTGTTTATCCTACTTTGGTGAATGTGAAATCCATACTCTGCCAGGTGCATGGCCTTGTGCCAGGCCCAGTTGGGATTTACCAAGTGTAACCAGACCTGGCTGATACTAATAGCCTATCATCCAGCATTTGGCATATCTTTTGAAGAGAGGATCCTCTCCACTATATGTAAATGCAGTTTATAATGATGATCACTGCATGATAGAGTTACTATAAGGAGTACACGGGATGCCCCATGTAGACAGGGCAGCGCTGTGCATAGAATACTGCATGGAGCCCCAAAGATGTCCTTGGAGCAAACCTCACAGATGCCACCATCAAGCAAGCCTGTAAAGTGCTGCACACGTTGCCGCCCTGGACAGTTACAAACACATTAGCATAGTAAACGCTCTGAGAAGTCTTACAGCAGAAGCCTTTTTCATGTTTGATTAAACCAGTGTTTCCCAATTATTTAACTACAGAATCTGTTTGTTTGTTTGTTTGTTTTGTTTTCACTTAGGTTATAACCCTTCTTTTCCCTCTAGGATTTTATTTTCTAAGTTATAAATACTTTTCTTGAAGATTTCTTACATACTCCCAGATCTCTCCCAAAGAAATCAGCTTCTGATACAATATCGAAGAAATGAGTAGTTTCTCTGCATGCTTCACCTCAGATTACTTATATGAAGAAAGGAAATGTTGAGCTGAAAAAAGATAAGAAACAGGAATGCAGTGGACCAATATTGGTCTTAGTACCTTAGCATTCTTTTTTTTTCCTTTTTTTTCACATCAAGTGAAGCAGTAGGAGTGGAAAAAGGACAAAGAAATCTGTAACTGGTTGTGATCAATTTAGTTGTAAACACCACTGTGCTTGGACCCGCCTGTGACTCTTTTTTATCTCTCTCTAACAAAGGCTTCTGAGCAAAATCTCCAGAAAAAAGATGACAAGTTGAAGAGAGGGTAAACAATTGAAATCATGAAGCTTTGGGGAGGGAGACAGAATAGATGCTAAAGAGTAAGTGGGTAGGTTAGTGGTTTGGTAAACACAGAATAAATACAGTTTATTAGTACAGTCTATAGAACCTAGATTAAAATTTGATGTTTAAAGCCTTATTCTGAGTTGCTACTGAATTTTTTTTGTCTTAAAGACCTACTTTATATTTTTTCTGTTTACTCCCTTTTTTAAACAGCTTATTGAGATGTAATTTTCATACCCATAAAAAATTTATCCATTTAAAATATATACAATTCAGTGGGTTTTTTAGTATATTCAGTTATGTAATCATCACTGCAGTCAATTATAGAAATTTTCATCACCCCATAAAGAAACTCTGTACCCATTAGAAGTCACTCTCCATTTCTCCACAACTCCCCATCATTAGGTAACCATTTAAGACTTTCTGTCTCTATAAATTTGCCTATTCTGGACGTTGAAAAAAAAAATAGAACCATATAGTATGTGGTCTTTTGTGATTGGCATCTTTCACTTAACGTAATGTTTTCAAGGCTTATCTGTGTTGTGGCATGTACTTCATTCCTTATGGCCAAATAATATTATATTGTGTAGATATACCACATTTTATTTCTTTATTCATAATTTGATGGACATTTGGGTTGTTTCCACTTTTTCGCTATTATGAGTAATGTTGCTATGAACATTTGTGTATAAATTTTTGTGTGGACATAGGTTTTTACTTCTCTTGGGTATATACCTGGGGGTGGAATTGCTGTGTTATGAGGTAACTATGCTTAACATTTTGAGCAACTGCCAAACTATTTTCCAGAACGGCTGCACCATTTTATATTTCCACCAGTAGTGTGTAACAATCCCAATTTCTCCACATCCTGGCCACCACTTGTTATTATCCACAGTTTTTATTGTAGCCACCCAAGGAGGTGTGAACTGATATCTCACTGTGGTTTTGGTTTGCATTCCCTAAAGGCTTATCATGGGGAGCATTCAAATGCATTTTATAATGGATTGGTTTGACAAGACTTTTATTAATGTTCTGTAATGAAAAGAATATTGTTTTTTGTGGGAGTCAAAAGACCCAGGTTTTAGTCTAGCTTCTGCTATTTATAGACTCTTTGACCTTGAATGGGTTCCTTTTTTTTTTTTGGTGTGTGGTTAAAAAATACTTAACATTAAATTTACCGTCTTAACCATTTTTAAGAATACAGTTCAGCAGTATTAAGTATATTCACATTGTTGTGCAACGGAACTCAAGAACATTTTCATCTTGTAATACTGAAACTCTATACCCACTAAACTCTAATTCTCCCTCCCCCCAGCCCTTGGCAAACCATCTTTCTACCTTCTGTTTCTATGATTGTGACTCCTTTAGATACTTCATATGAGCAGTCATACAGTATTTGTCCTTTTGTGACTGGCTAGGTTCCTTTTAAATGTCATTAATACCTGTTCTGCCTTCTTACAGAATGGCCATAAGGATCTGTTGAAATAAATTATGAGGAAAGTTTTTAAAAGCTATAAGGAATAACTAATTGTTATATGATATTGTCATAATTAGGCTACTCAGAAAGGCAGAGAAGAACATAGGGAGAGTATCACTAAAGGGGGCTCAATGGTTCTGCCTTCTTTCCGTTCTGTCACCTGTAGCTCCAACTTGGCCACAAAGGGTTAAGCTAAACTCTTGTGAATAGCAGTCCTCTTGAGCTCAACTTGAATTTATTTCTGGAGGATGCTGTAATAAACTCATTAAAGTGATTATTTTAAAATAATAACATTATCTTCCTCATCCATTTATTTGTATACAGTCTTGTATGCTTTTCCCTGTTTCCTTACAGAATCCACGTTGTCCATTAAACGAAGAGGTAATTGCCCAAGCCAGGAAAATATTTCCTTCAGTGATAAAATACATTGTAGAAATGACTATATGGGAAGAGGAAAAAGAACTGCCTCCTGAACTCCAGATAAGGTGGGGAAAATTGTCGAAAGGGATGAGTTTTAGTTACGGTTACATTGCAAAATAAGTGTTGAATAACTGTTCTTGTTATTTACTGATTACCTTATTATCATTATGAATAATAGAGAATTATCTCAGGAATATTTTCATTTTTAATTTTATTTTTTTCAGGAATTTTTATTTTTTAAATGTCCATTTATATGAGATGCTTTGCTAGGCACTATAGAGAAGTTAAGCTGAAAGAGCCAATTGGGTTTTTTTTAGAATTTTTAGGGAAAAAAATCAACATTTTGGGGTCTTGTTCTAAATGATTTATAGGGATCTAGCAGCCTCTCATCCTAGTATATAAGTAAATTGCCCAGTTTGGTCCTGGCTTAGACCAACTTCCAGGTTCTTCAAGAGGTTTGTGACGAAGGTAGGGAGTTCAGAACAGTGTGTCTCCCTTTAGCCTAGGTCTTTAGCCCAGGCCTTTAACCCTTTTACTGAGGAAGAAAAGTTCGATGATGGGAATGAGGAAATATCCCTTTCCCTCGTGCTTCAGTATCTAGAATTATTGAAATTGTAGGGATTTAACATTTTTTAGCTGAAACTCAGCAATTTCTACCCAGGTTTCTTTCTTTCTTTCTTTCTTTTTTTTTTTTTTTTGGCAGCTGGTCAAAATTTTCTGTCTATAGAAGCTAACATTTTAAGCAAAATTCAGGTCAAATGATTCCTATAGTTTGCCAATCATTTAAAGAATTTCAAGTCAAGGTATTCTTGAGATTTTCTAATGTACAAGTCCTTGGTTTAAAATTCCTTCTGGAAAACATGCCACTGAAAAACATTTTCTTGAATTATAATCCACAGTGCAAAAAAGTCTTCAATGTGCTGTTTTATTAAATGTGCTGTTTGAAAGTGACTGACTATTTAATATTTTAGTATTAGTATATGTATCAGGACATTAGAGCAGTTAAAAAATTTTTTTTTTTTCCTTTTTGTCTTTTTTCGTGTCCGGCAACGGATCGCAACCCTCAGTGTTGCGCCCGTACCGGACCAGGACCGGCAACGGGATCGCAACCCTCGGCGTTGCTCCCACACCTCGCTCAGCCAGTGAGCGGGAACCGGTCTGTATGTGGGATCCGAACCCTCGGCGGGAGCGCCACCACGCTCCCAAGCAGCGCACTGTAGCAGTGCGCCACCGGGCCGGCCCCCTCAGCAATTTCAAATAGTCATAAATCTTTAAGTGACAGTAATATTTGCTCTTAATTCACAGATGCAAGGAAGAATTCTGGATCTGATATGAAAATACAGTTTGAACCTTATGAGAATTTTTCTACCTGTGAAGAAATTAGGAATTTAACATAATTGAAGCACAAATCTGAATACAGCCATTCTTTGAGTTTACTGGGGTTTTTTCTTTGTTTTGTTTTTAGAGGGAGAGAGAATTACAAAATTTAATTTATAGACATATAAATGTATTATTTTGACTCTTTCTGGGCCTTAAACTGCTTGGAAATAAAGTTTACGAGAAATTGTGTCCACAGATATTTTAATTTCAAATAGGTGATAATGTCAGTTAAACATTTTAAGAGCTTTGTGTCCAATAAATATTTTCTTTGAGTGTCATGTCAGTGCTCAAAAAGTTTTGGATTTTGGAGCATTTGTGATTTCAGGTTTTCAGATTAGGGATACTCCACCTGTATTAAAGACAGACTGCCACTAAACTGACATTTCTGAAAGTAAAAAGGAAAATTGGAGGAAAAACATGGAAAAGGCAGTATTTTTTATCAGGGTTTTTAAAATCCCATGGCAGTATACCTCTTAAAATCATTTCCTGTGTCAGTATTATAGTGTTACTTTTCTACGTATAGGAAACTACATGGTGTTGCTTCAGCACAGACGTTTTAATTACTTTTGTCTACTTTTTACTTTTTCCTTTATTTGTTGCAGTATCTGAATATATATCTTTTTTTAAAACAGGGAGAAAAATGAAAAATACTATTGTGTTCTTTTCAATGATGAACACCATTCATATGACCATGTCATATACAGCCTACAAAGAGCTCTTGACTGTGAACTCGCAGAGGCCCAGTTGCACACCACTGCCATAGACAAAGAGGTTTGTGGTCTCCATTTGAATTATACTGCTGTTGGGGCTGGCTAGTTAGCTCACTTGGGAGAGCATGTTGTTGAGAACACCAGGTCAAGGGTTCAGATCCCTGTAGTGGGCAGTCACCAAAAAAATAAATAAATAATAAAAAATGAATTATGCTGCTCTCTTACATCAGCTTCTTGGCAGTCAGGTGTTAACTGAGCCCTTGCCAAGTGCCTTAGTATTATGTTAGGTACAATGATCCTCTCTCCATTTATTCCCTACGTCCTAGGTAAATCAGTTGGAATTTTGACTTTTTGTATGTGTTATAGTTTTAGATAACTATAACTTTCCTCTTTTATTCTAAATAATTAGAAAGTTACTGAATATGTTTGACAAAGTATAGGTAAGAATGTCAGGTCAACTTTCATCTGTTCCTATAATTATTCATTGAATGAATGAATAAATGCATGAATTATGAAAAGTTGATCATTTCTGAGGTTTTAATGTGGTTTATTTAAATTAATTTTGGAAAAATATTAATTCTGTGACTCAACTTTTATTTAACATCCTTTCGAAGCAAAATGGATTCTTCAGGTGATACAGGTATATAAAAGGAACATTAACCTAATCCCTGCCCTTGAGAGGAGTGTAATCTAGTAGAAGAAGCAGCATAACATTACTAACTCAAAATTCTTTATTTTCCTTGTGTATTTTTTTTTTTTTCCTTTTTTTGTCTTTTTTCGTGACCGGCAACGGATCGCAACCCTCAGTGTCACGCCCGTACCGGACCGGGACCGGCAATGGGATCGCAACCCTTGGTGTTGTGCCCGCACCTCGCTCAGCCAGTGAGCGGCCGGTCTGTATATGGGATCCGAACCCTCGGCGGGAGCACCGCCGCGCTCCCAAGCGGCTCACTGTAGCAGTGCGCCACCGGGCCGGCCCCCTTGTGTATTTTTTTTTAAGCAGGAGGTTTAATATAGAATTAGAGCAGGTGTTTAACTTCCTTTTTTGTGCTACTTATGTATGTCTATGTGATTGCATATCATTAATGAAAGGGCAAATTAAGTAAAAAAATAAATAAATAAAAGGATATGAACAGTTAAAAATAATAATATTAGCCAACATTTACCAAGCATTTACATGTGTCAGACATGGTGTACTTTATGTGTAATATCTTGTTTAATCCTGAGAACAACCCTTTGAGATATACCATTTTTATTTCTATTTCATAAACCTGTGCCTAGTACCTTGCGGACGAAGAGGATCAATATCTTGGCACACCTATAACCCTTTCCAAGTACCTGAGAATTCTGGTTAGAACGGTGCTTTCAAACTTTAGTTTTCATGTGAATCCTATGAAGATTTTACTAAAAATGCAGATTCCAATTTTAGTAGGTTTTATGTGGGTTATGCAGTTCATTTCTAACAAGTGAAAACCACTGAAATTGGTCATCCTCATATTGAGAGCAAGATATCCCTGGCCAATGGTCCTCTGACTTCTGCTTGAGTATTTAGAGAGTTTGGCTCTCTCTCTGTCTGCTTGTTAGACAACTTTCATTCTTAGAAAAAAAAAGTTTTTTTTCTATGTTCAGCCAAAATATGAGTCCATGTATTTTCAGACTAATTTCTTTTAGAACAACCCAGAAAAGATCTTTTTCTTTCAGAAAGCCCTTCAAATAGTTTAAGAAATCTTATAATTTCTTATGGCTGCTTTCTTCTATTTTCTTCAACTGTTTGTCTTGTGATAATAAACTGATACTGGTCAAGCTCTGTTTCCTTCTCTCCACGCCTCCCCCCGGATAAATACTGGTTTGTCAAAGATCCTCTTCAAATGTGGTACTCTGAATCAGTTCACTAAACATCAGTTTCACTAAAGGCAGTTTGAGGTGAAAGATGAGTCAGATTGTTTTCTGCCTTCAGAGAATTATTCTCTGCCATTATTATGAAAGAAAACATTCAGGAAAATTTTAAAAATGTAACGGTAGTCTTTCCCAGTCCACATTTTGCCATCTATGTGCAAAGTTAACGTAGATTGTAAGAGAAAATCTTGGTCAAAATCAAGATACAGTATTTCTATAGTATTATTGTGAGCTACCATGATCCTAGGACTCTGAGAACACATGCTGGTATGACAAACCGACTCTCTAGAAGAGTTGGCTTGGGAAAGCATGGGACTGGGCTTTGTTGGCTTTCAAATAGAATGGAAAGATCTAGGTATCCCAAATCTTTGTCCAATCTCTTCCTAGCCTTTATACCTTCCCCTACTTTTTTCTTTACTACTCTCCTCTACAGTTAAAATTGAGAAGGCTCGTGGCTACAGCTAACCTACCTACTAGTGGGTTGACTTGTTTTTGAGTCCCAAGTCTCTATAATGTGATGCAAAAAAAGCTTTTTAATAAATGATCGCTTGGGGGTGGCTGGTTAGCTCAATTGGTTAGAGCATGGTGCTGGTAACACCGAGGTCCAGGGTTTGATCCCTGTACTGGCCAGCCGCCATATAAATAAATAAATAGCCACCAAGTAAATACATACATACATACATGCATCCTTATTCAAAAGGGAAAATAGGACATTAGGTAATGTTGTATACGATATTAAGGTGAAAAATGTACTTCTTGGCTATATGAGATTGTGTTGCAGTCAGTCTGTTTGACAAACCTATAAAGATTTATACTTGTAATTCTGTTTTCAGCTATAGGATGAGAATAAAGGGAACCTTTTAGAAATCACTTGGGAATTTTTTTTCCAAAGTAGACATACCAGCCCAAACCTAGTAAATTATTAGAATTGGGGGTATATGGAGAAGAGGAAGGGAAAGAAAGACCCATGTATTTTGAAAAAATTGCCTCCCTCCAATTGATTTACTTCCATCCCATTTTTTTGGTCATTAAAATGAAAAAATTTTAATGGTGGTAAAATCCACAAAAATGTAAGTTAACATCTTAACCAATTTTTATGTGTACAGTACAGTAGTGTTTAACTATATGCACATGGTTTTGCAACAGATCTCTAGAACTTTTCATATTGCAAAACTGAAACTGTGTCTACTGAACCTCCCTTTTATCCCATCTCCCCATCCCTTGGCAACCACCACTCTATTTTCTAAGAGTTTAACTGTTTTACATATCTCATATAAGAGGATCATGTGATGTTTGTCTTTTTGTGACTGGTTTATTTCACTTAGTACAGTGTCCTCAAAGTTCATCCATGTTATAGCATATGACAGGATTTCCTTCTTTTTCAAGGCCGAATAATATTGTGTGTGTGTGTGTGTGTGTGTGTACACACACACACCACATTTTGTTTATCCATTCATCCATTGATGAACACTTGAGTTGTTCCTACATTTTGGCTATTGTAAATAATACTTTTATGAATATGAATGTAAAAATATCTGTTTGAGTCCTCATTTTTAATTCCTTTGGGCTCCATTGATGAACACTTGAGTTGTTCCTACATTTTGGCTATTGTAAATAATACTTTTATGAACATGAATGTAAAAATATCTGTTTGAGTCCTCATTTTTAATTCCTTTGGGTTTATATCCAAAAATGGAATTGCTGGATCATATGAGAATTCTATGTTTAATTTTTTGAGGAA